CTTCCAGGGCAAAATATATAGACAAACAGAAGGTGTAGCAGTGGGATCACCAATATCCTCTATCATAGCAGATATCTTTGTGGACAGCTGGGAAATTATTACCCTTAAAACACTTAATCCTACGCCAAAAAATTGATGGAGATATGTGGATGACACTTTCACAGTGTTAAAAACAGAACATATCTCTAACTTCTTGACACATATAAACTCACTAGAAAAGGGAATAAAATTCACATTTGAATCAGAAAATGAACAAGCAGAATTAGCTATGTTGGATTGTAAAATAAAACGAACAGAAGGTAAGCTGCACACTAGCGTTAATAAAAAGCCAACGCATTCTAATAGATATTTAGACTTTAGTTCATCTCATCCGTTATCTGTAAAGGCTGGCTTAGTTAAGTGTCTAACAAACCAAGCAACAGCACTACATAGTACAACAAAATAACTAAATGATGAAATAAAACAGAGAGAAGAAGCGTTGGTTTTAAATAACTGTCCTTTAAAATTCATTAGGAAGATCAGAAAATATCAAAAGCAAAATAAAAATAATGGTGAAACTAATAATGATAACATATATAGGAGAGAATATAAGGCATCTACAGTTTTACCATATACGGAGGGGACGTCTGAAATCTTACGTAGGATTCTTAATAAAGCAGGAATTAGGGCGGCATTTAAACCTACAAACTCACTCAGGGACAAGCTCTGTAGGTTAAAGGACCCTGTTGACCCAACTAGACAAAATATAATTTACAAAATACCTTCCAATGACTGTGAGGTCAACTGCATAGGTCAAACTAGTAGATAAGGAGTAGTCAGATTGTCAGAACGTAAGAATTTAGCGAAGGTTAGGGTGATTGACCCCACGAAGATAAGTAATTCAGGAAAAAGCTCCGCAGTTGCACTGCATGCATTAGCGCATAACCACACAATAGGGTTAAAATTCTAAGAAGTAATATAGGTAGGTGGAGAGAGAGGTTGATTACTGAATCCTTGTTCATTGAGTCCACACCCAACACGTGCAATAGGAATGACCCATCACTCATACCGGAGATATGGAAAATACTACTACCAATCAAATCAAGCGATGAAAAATAGAGGAATTATATAAACGAAGTGCGTCAGTGGCATAGCGGTTAGGACGCTTGCCGACCATGCACATGGTCCGGGGTTCGATCCCCGACCGACGCACTCCTTTACCTCGCTAAGTCAGAACTAAAACTGGTGAAGAGGAAAGGTTGGGCATGAGGCTAGCAACCCCATCCTGTAAAATAAGCACTGCTACAGGAACTTCAAGCCACTAGCTTGAAGCCCTATGTTCCACTGGGGAACGTGAAGAAAAAAAAAAAATATATAAACGAAGTTAGAAAGTTGTGAGTACCTTGATATGATTATGAGGAATAAATTGTGCTCGAAACGTCATCAGTAAATATTACTGTATAACACTGAGACTTTTTCAAAATAAATATTACCCGCAATGGAATCATACTAGAGCTTAATGTACAAGTTATATGCTAATAGCATCGACCACATGAAATTCAATCTGCTTTTTGTGATAATAGCTAATGTCTCTCCTGACAGTATATATATTCAAGGACCCGATTAATTGACGGTGAAAGCAAGCAGCCACCTCAGGGTAACTAGTCTACGATAATGAAGGAAGCTTGTTACTGCGTATTGAACAAGTAAACGGCATTAGATGTCACCTTCCTAGAACCCCAGTATCTGTGGAATTGGAAATAAAGATAAGATATCACGTTAGAAATACTTCCTAGCAAAGGTTTCTTGGTTGTTAGATTCAAACCATGCACACACTATCGTGTTGGAGTATTGAAAAATCAAACCAGAATTGAAAATATCTCACACGAATACTCATGGTATAGCGGGAAATAAACTGAGTTACATAATGTAAGCCTTAAAAAAATCTTATACTAACTCTCACACAAGGGCGTGAGATTTTAGGATATTATTTTCCAAAAGATAAATAAATTGGTACGCAGTCATCACTTGCTTGGAAAACTCCTCATAAACAAGGTATGGAAACAAACGGCTACAAAGAGAGATGGATCAACTGAACTGATGAAAGACGTTAATACAGTTAAAGTATACCGTAGTTTTGGTGCAGTAGCAGGTAACACAGTGATTGGTGTACTCAATCAACACTAGTTTGGCGTGCATGACAAGTATCAAGTGAGCACTCTCTACAGAAATAAAAATTTAAAAGATTAACCTGGTTAAGCCGCTTAGATAAGCTACTGCCAACAACAGTATCAGGCATAACAATACACAGCGAATATAGAATCGACCAAAAGCCTGACTCTACAGTAACTCAGCCTGTACGTCTCCTCAAAGTCGTACTAAACTCCAAAGAAGAGAGGGATGCCATTCTAAGCAACTCTCAAATTCTTAAAGGATCAGGCATATATGTCCGTGCCGACTTATGCCTAGCAGACCGTGTCAAAAGACAGTCTGCGGCTCTAGAATAAAGTGAACGACGCCAAAACGGCGAAAAAACCTTGAGATTAAGGGTTTTCGGGTTGTCAAAGTTCGATGTTCCCGAAACCTTTGCGGGTAGGCCGCAGAAGCACCAAACTAATATCGACAGTTTGCTACACAAATCCCCGTAGCCTGTTGAACAAACGGACTGAGCTGGTTAATATGATAGATTCCAGATGTAATTATTATCACAGATGTCACCGACAACGAAGTTAACCTGCCAAACTTCGAAGTGCGTAGGATGAACCAACTAAGCCGCAAAGGTGGCGTAGTCACCTACCTCAAGAAATGCCTAACCGGGAATAGCATCGAAGCACACGCTCACGAAAGTGAATCGTGCGAACTTCCACGCTGCAGACTTAAATGCACAGGCCGAGATATTGACTTCATTGCTATATACCGCAGTCCTGACTGCAGTGCAGATGACTTCCTAATAGAGAAGCTAGGCTCCTCGACTTCGAAATGTCGAAGTCTCGTAGTCGGCGAATTCAACACCCCAACAGTTGACTGGACGAGCCTTACAACTCCATCTTCAGTCAACTCCTTTGATCATAAACTGCTGGAATCTAGTATATCGCTAGCCCTAGTCTGATATGTCATTAAGCCCACGCGCTATGACTCACAGCACTCCTCCTCAACTCCAGACCTAGTGTTCTCCCACGGTGAGGATGTGGATTTCATACATCTTCCTCTTTTAGGAAGAAGTGATCATGCTGTGCTCACTTTGAAGTTCACAGCAACAGCAGCAAGGGCCAAAACCCCAGCTCGACCAAACGTTTGGAAAGCTGAAATAAATGCGATCGTCTCAGCAGCCAACTCAGTCAACTGCTACATCAACTCAGAGTCCAAGTAGAAGCCACATGGAACCAATTTAAACAACTTTACGCCCAAGTAACTGAGCCTTTCCTCCCTTGGTCTGTCCCAAAGGGTCGGAAACATTGCCCCCCTTGGATAAACCGAGTGATTCGTAAGTTACTCATACGTAAACACAAATGTTGGAACCTGTTTGTCAAACTTGGGACTCCTGAGACCAGGAAATTATATAACACTGCTAGGAATAAAGCTAATGCGGAAATCTGCTAATCAAGGATGAAGTTCGAAGCACATCCTGCTCAAAATGCAAAGGCACAACGTAAGAAAATTTTCTCGTACATGAACTTCAGGAATAAAACATCCAATGGTGTCCCCAATCTGACTACTGACAATGACACAATCGAAGAAGACCAAGAAAAAGCAGAAGCAATGGAAAACTACTTCTCCCAAGTCTTCACTCAGGAGTCATCACTGCCTATAGGATCAGCTCTGGCTGCATCAGAGGAACACGGGATAGATTCCGTCGACGTCGACCAAGACATCGTGCTCAACTGCCTAATGAAACTAGATGCAAGAAAATCAATAGGTCCTGATAATCTTGACCTAAGGCTTCTCAAAGAGCTATCAGCTCAAATAGCCGGCCCATTGACCACGATCTTCAAGCTTTCTCTCCTAAATGGAGTGTTACCGCGTGACTGGAAAGACGCCCTAGTAACCCCCATCCACAAAGGAGGATCAAGACAATGCCCTTCATACTACAGGCCTATTAGTCTCACCAGAACTTTGATCAAGACACTGGAAAGAATCATCAAGGAAAGTATCATGGCATGTCTGGAAAACAACAATTAGTTATCTAGAGCACAACACGGCTTCCGAAGAAACCTCTCATGCCTGTCAATTCTTCTCGTCGCAAGAGAAAGCTGGATGAAATCAAGGGACAATGGAAGACCTGTTGACGTTGTCTTCATAGACTTCAGCAAGGCCTTCGATAAATTTCCCCACAAAAGACTACTCATAAAGTTGAAAGTTCTTGTTATCAAAGGCAGCTTACTAAGCTGGATTAAGGAATTCCTCATAGATAGGAAGCAGAGGGTTAGGATCAACTCGAAACTCTCCTCCTGGACAGCAGTGCGTAGCGGAGTGCCACGAGGTACAGTACTCGAACCTCTCCTATTTATTTTGTATAGCAATGAGTTACCTCTATTCACCGATTCCCCTATGGTCCTATACGCAGATAACTTGAAAATCTGGAGAGAGCTGAAGGGCGACAGTTATACGCTCACATTTCAAGACCTCAACAAATTGTCAGGGCGGTCCAGAGGATAGCTGCTCCCGATCAATGTGGCAAAATATGCAACCATGCGCATCGGACACGCAAGCATCAGCTCCTACGAACTAGGGGAAATAACACTTCCATCGGTTTATACTCATTTGGATTTAGGTGTCATAGTTAGCCACGATTTAAAAACTACAGCACATTGTCACGCGGTGGCTGCACGCAGTTTCAGATCCGTATAGGCGATTCGCAGAGCCTTTACTAGAATCACCGGAGATATGGTCACCTCCTTATATACATCTCTGGTGAGGTCAAGACTAGAAACACTCTTTTCATGAAATGATTGTTTCATATCACACTTTGTTCGACTGTAACACATGAATACTCACTGAATTTAAAATCTGTAATTTTCAACTTACAAGTTATCCGAAAGAATTTATTTAGCTTGTACAACTCAGATGAGATTTGATGTATAAAACTACATGCTCTATATAATATGCAGTTTTGCTCCAACTACTTTTCTTTAACAAATTCAATGGGCTCCTCTGTGAATATGGAATACAGATAACTGAAGAAAATACCATAGACGATTGTCCCAAGTAGCACTGTGACTACCAACTTATGATCCTCTTTCAATTCCTTTGCGGTCATTATTAATTCTCTATCAGCCTGTCTTTCCCAGGATTCATTCAAGATTCGATTATGCTGCTTGACGTAGAATGATTTGAAATTATCTTTGCTACTGTCTCTAATCGAATCAATAGAGTATGGTTCAAAATCAGTATCTATTCTGTCACTTCTTGGGTGAATTAGGCCGCGATCATATTCATTTCTTTTAATCGGATTACCCAAAACCTCATATGCTCTCATTAACTCGTGAAACTTTCCCCTAGCATTTGGGTCATCGGTCACATCAGGATGATATAATTTTGACAGTCGGTAGAAAGCCTCCTTGATTTCTTGATGAGTAGCATCTTTGGGTAGTTCGAAAACACTGTACAGCGATTTGACTTTCGTAGACAGAGCAGAAGTTGCTCTATAACTAATAGAATTGGCGAAAAATGGGAGCGACCTAGCAGCTAAATGAAACTAAATTGAGTAAGAGACCAAGAAGTAACGTTACCATTTTAGATACCCTCAAATTTTTTCGTGTTCAATATTCATTTTTGAAACTCCAGTATCCCCATTTATGTGAACAAGAATTCAAGCTTTTTATGTTTTCTCCTGCAACGATTTCCTCCATTAAATTTTATTTTCTTCTAAATGACCTCTTTCAAGAGTTTACTAATCACATATGACTGAGAAGTTTCATTCATCTAGTGGATTGCAGTGGTAAATAATTCCCCAAAATTATTGACCGCAGCAATCATCACTGAACATTGAATGGTGACCCCCACTGTTTAAGTCGACTTGTTTAGCTGAGGGCTTTCGGTCTAGTATCCTAGTCATTTGGTACTCCGTCGTGTCACGTACGTGCACGATCCCTAGGTGGCTAAGCAATCCTCTCGCACTCCGATTTGGTCCGGAAATATACCTCGTAATTTGGACGACCAACTATCGTGTTTGCCTTGCCTTTGGTCTACGTGGAACGAATACTACAGAAGTTGCGGGCACAAGATCTTGCGTTAGTAGACTTCATACAATCCGTGAACGTCAATATCCCCAGCCTCTAAAGGATCATACGTGGAATGGATCATACCTGCAACCCAAATAAAGGCAATCTGACCGCGGTTACTGATATTTACTACCTTAAGGTGATAATTTTTGAAACTATTGGGACATTTAAAACTCAACGTTTAATGCTGTCAACGAATATAGCATAGCCATAGTTAGTTTGTTAAAACTGTTCTGATTCTTCTAATTACAAGTATTTAAGAGAAGTCATAACCCGTAATTTTGGGGAGATCGATGCAATCCGGATGCATTTCGCTCTGAATTTTTCAGAATTATTGTCAAATATCATCCAGACAGTTAGTACTTATATTTCATCACCACCCTGGCAAAAATGTATCCATCTTTCGAGGAAGACTACTCACTAACAAAACTTTAAAGACAACCTATGCACTTTCAGATAAAATGAATTATGGAATCAGATACCTTTTTACAACCGTATTACTCCCCACAGAATCCGAGCGAATACATAGAGGTCTTCCGTGTGGCCCACCCACAGAACTTCAAATCCTGGTAAGACAGTGACAGTGTACAAACTGCGATGAAAACATCTGTGGAGTACGAAACCATATGATTGTACACTTTTTGGTTAGATGTTGAAATTAGTAACATTGTACATGACTCTTGTTTACAACGATTTATGTTTAAATACATATAACTTCCGATTGGATTTTGAAATACACTATACTGTTGGTAGCTTCGCCTTCTGTCTGGCCATTTCTGTCTACCTGCTCCACTCAAGCCGTGTTGTATACTTTGGATTTATTGCAGGAACCTATTATCCTTATCCGAAGACAGCTTTACAACCGGAACACAGCTTCTATCAGTAGACGCGATTCCAACAGTCAACGCTTCTGTGGATTATAAAAATAATTTGTAGCAGTGGACTTTAGCAACATATCCAAGTAACCTATTAATTAATATCACTTATTACTGCATTTTGATAATATATTGTTGCATTGTACTCTCATTGACTTGGATTTTTATTCGCATATTTGTTATGTAAGTGAACTTTCTCTAGACAGCCCCCTACACATCTCTGATTATGTGCTGTGACCACGCGATTACAGCTGATATACATGCAGCGAGGGCATGAAGGCAACATTCGCCCTGAAATCCCCTAATTTTCCACTGCATCTTTCTACAATCAGTGGAGTTTTCACCCTTTATTAGACCCACCAAAGAGTGGGATAGATCTAATTGACTTGAATTTTTGAGTACCTCAGGCTAATACACCCCTTTGTGCCTCCTGGCTTCACTGTGACTACGTTCACACTTTGAAAGAGATAGATGTTGTTAATTTTAAGATCACCCAGGTAAGAATGACCCTCTTTGTTGGGTGGCTCAATCTTTGCCAAATAAATACTAAAACCCATCATTATTCAAAATCACATTCATCACCTAATCGTATCATGCACACTAATTCTGACCACTGAAATCAATGAAATGTGGAATCAGACTTTTCATTTGCCAGTTAAATGACTTGTTCAGTCATTAAAAGGTTTCAATGAAGGTTCAAGACGAAGTAAAAGTAATTTTTCCATCAATTTTAAAAAAGGAGAAGTAATTGCATTAGGCCTAAATTTAATATCGGTACCAGAAGATTGTTTTGGTATAGGGATAATTTCAATGTTTTTCCATGCAGAAGGTAGAACATTACTGGAAAAGGAAGCATTAAAAATATTAGTAAGAGGGTAACACAAAATATCAGCACAGTTCCTGAGGACAATGGCAGGCACGCCATCATTATCTTTTCA